GCGTATGTGTACTGTAGTCCCTAATGTTGTACACAGATATCTTCATGTGTTGGTGAAATGGGATGATACTACACTTTGACTGAGTACAAGGATAAAATTACTCAAATAGTTAGGTTATTATTAGTGAGGCTTCAAATTGTAGCTTATGTAAATAAAAATAACATCAAATAACAAGTGCCTCTATTTAGATTCTATAACCACTCTTTATACCAACGGTGTAATACAACTTTTAGAAAACATTAATAAAGTTATACAGTTAAAATTATAAATCTGTTAATAAACAAACCTAAATGGATTCAATATAATTGGTTACATAAAAAGCTAACTCTACCTGTTCTGTCTGTCAGGTATATTGAAGGTATATTATAGAAGTAGATGATGCGATATTTATCATATAATTAAGAATAATTAAGATATATTATAGAAGTAGATGATGTAATATTTATGATAAAATTATACTGCTGAAAAGATGAGTTTAGTCCTTTGAAAAGAGTTACCTTCTAATTAGTGTTCGACATATTCTATATTTCAAGTTATCTCCCTTTAAACATTCCATGATTAATTGCATGTTTAGTAAATACTTACAGAAGTCAACAGTTACTACTGATACGTTGTTTTTCTAGATTTATTTTTCTTTATTATCAGGAAACTCACTTTTTCAAACATTGACGATCTGTTCGTATGTGGTCAGAGGACACGGATGTCAGCAGTGTCTTATATAGAACCAGATGTCATGTGTAGAGTAGATGCCATGTGTAGACCATATGTCAGCAGTGTTGTGTAGACGAATGTCCTCACCTTAGACGGGTGCCAGCACTTGGCAGCCCAGATGATTCTGCCTGGCATTATTCCAGACCAAATGCTGGATGAATTTCAGATGGCAGGAGACTCGTGGTGAGCTGTTTTTTTTATTGCTTACACATTAGACACGTCATGTTTGTATGGCTTGGGGCTGTCTATAATCGACGTTACATTACTATGGGTGGCATAGAGGGTGGGGGGGGGGGGGGGTCGGGGTTCTGACTTATGTATCACAAAGGCGAGGGGTGGAGTTTCAGAAAGTGATGACTCAATTGCATTTAAAGAGTGATGTTAATTTAAACAATTTTTGTGTTGTTTTATCGCGTTTTCAAAAGAGTTGTTGCGCATTGTAATTAAAATTATAATTATACTCAATGTTATAATTGAAATGTGTATGTACTAAATGTTACTGACAGAAATCGTTGTATTATAAAATAAAAACTGCGATTTTAAGAGGGGCTGCTATAGGCTGAAGTGTGACGTCACTTTAAGGGAATATAAGCTGTTGTGGCGTGTGACGAGAATGACGGGAAGTTACAAATAGCTTTAAAAAGTATTACGTCGTTTATGAATGATCCCCATGGCATTATGCTAGGCATTAATTTAAAAAATTTTGTTATCAGATTTCATTTAAATGGTAGAACCTACTTTAACATTGCAGATTTTTAGTCAAGGTAAGGTAAGGTTTTAGTTTATGGACCAGAGAACAGTTTCCACGATTAATAGAGGCCATGTTCCTTGTTTAATAAGTTCCATCTATCACTGAGATGAGCCGCTTTTGATCCCACCAACTTGACTACCATATGAATTGACGTAATTGTGTACTCAACACATACTTTTAATTTTAATATATAAGAAATTGATTAACAAAGTCAATGATGGAACCTACAGTTACAGGACACCAAGATATTGCCCTTGTCATGTCACGCTAAAAACGTTATTGATAAAACGATACCAAATTATGGTGATGAAAACAATTTGATTTTTATCAAAAGTTTTCTTTAAAAAAATCTCGGATAGAACTTCAAGTACAACATTAATTCTATTGTACATACACATAGACTGGTCCTAGGATCTAGACAAATAAAGCTATTAATATAAACTTGTTTGTATGTAGCCTAAATGAAGATATTAAAACTATCTTTTTAATTTTAGGTTTTTAAGCACATGACATCAGAAGATTTGCACCTACCCCATGACATCAGAAGATTGTCACCTCATGTCATCAGAAGATTGTCACCAACCTCATGACATCAGATGATTGTCACCTACCTCATGACACCAGAAGAGTGTCACCTACCTCATGACATCAGAAGATTGTCATCTACCTCATGACACCAGAAGATTGTCACCTCATGACATCAGAAGATTGTCACCTACCTCATGACACCAGAAGATTGTCACCTCATGACATCAGAAGATTGTCACCTCATGACATAAGAAGATTGTCACCTCATGACATCAGAAGATTGTCAACTACCTCATCACATCAGAAGATTGTCACCTACCTCATGACACCAGAAGATTGTCACCTCATGACACCAGAAGATTGTCACCTCATGACATCAGAAGATTGTCACCTCATGACATCAGAAGATTGTCACCTACCTCATGACATCAGAAGATTTGCCCCTACCTCATGACATCAATAGATTTGCACCTAATACAAGATTTTTCATCTGCAAATTGACATCAGAAAATTTGACACCTGCCAAATGACATTAGAAGATTTGCCACTTTTTGTCATGACATCAGAAAACTGTCACCTATCTAATGACATCAGATTTGCTACCTGTGAAATGCCATCTGAAAATTTGCCACCTACCTCATGACATCATAAGATTTGCCACCTACCTGATATCATAAGATCTGTCATCGGCCTAATGAAATCAGAACATTTACCACCTGCTAAATGATATCAGAAGATTTATATCTACCTCATAACACCAGAAGATCTGTCACCTACTTAATGACATCAGAAGAACTGTCAATTTGAAAAAAAAAACGGAACAATATTTGAACTCCAATTTTTAAATTACTTGACTATTTTCTGGCTCCAAATTTAATTTAAAACTTTTTCGTTTAATAACATCTAAAGTTTTACAGTATACATCAAACTAAAGTTGATTTTTTAAATTACAAAAACAAAGCATTTTATAGATCTATATGCTTAAATTTGGAACCAGAAAATAAAAATAAAAGAAACATTTATTGTATAGAAAAGCTTGACATGTCAGCTTTTCGTGTGTTGTTTGTTCTTTATAAGGGTTAAAGGGCAGATGTTGCATCTTTAATAATGGGGTTTCTTTCAGATATTTCTGCTAGAAGGGTGGGTATAGTTTGGGTGGTGTGCCTCCCACTTTAAGTGGGCAGAGGGCGTTGGGGTGGGGTGCCCCCCTAAGTGGGCTGGGGTGGGGTAATGTGCCTCCCTCCACGTGGACGGGGGTGCTAGGGCGGGGTGCCTCCCCCTAGTATGCGGGGGTGGGGTGCCCCCCCCCTAAGAGGGCGGGAGCGCTGGGGTGGGGTGCCCCCCCCCCAAGTGGGCGGGGGCGCTGGGGTGGGGTGCCCCCCCCAAGTGGGCGGGGGCGCTGGGGTGGGGTGCCCCCCCCCCAAGTGGGCGGGGGCGCTGGGGTGGGGTGCCCCCCCCAAGTGGGCGGGGGCGCTGGGCGCTGGGGTGCCCCCCCCCCAAGTGGGCGGGGGCGCTGGGTTGGGGTGCCCCCCCCCCCAAGTGGGCGGGGGCGCTGGGTTGGGGTGCCCCCCCCCCCAAGTGGGCGGGGGCGCTGGGGTGGGGCGCCCCCCCCCCAAGTGGGCGGGGGCGCTGGGGTGGGGCGCCCCCCCCCCCCCAAGTGGGCGGGGGCGCTGGGGTGGGGCACCCCCCCCCCCTCTAAGTGGGCGGGGCATCTTAAAAGTTGGTGTTGTTTTTTTAATACAATAATTGAACTGAATAAAAGCAAATGTCTCGTTTATATTTTGCAGCCATCTTTTTCTTTGAAAGAAAACTTAATAACGTTTGTTTTCTCCTCCCTTTGTTATTGAAATGTGTGCTCAGTTGCAACTTTTTTGGGGCGTTTCTTTTTCCATGAACTATGAAACCCTTAAATCAGAGTTTTGCTCGTTACTCAAAGCCAAAAAATAGTTCTCTCGACTGCTCGTATCTTGAAAATCTCCTATGTCAGGGCCCTCGTATGTCGAGGGACCACTGTATGTGGAAGGTTGTGTTGATAGCTTTTGATCACGGCTGTCTTAATAACAAGTGTTATCTCCCCTAAACTTTCTTTTAAATTCTTCTTATATAAAGGTAGGGGATGACACTTCCATGGCTCTTGACATGTGTTCTATTCATTTTTTAAATACTTAAATTTTTTTAAACATAATAGAATCAAGCAGAAAAAAAGAATTGAGCACCATAATGAACGCAAACAGTGTGAATATAATAAGACAGATAACTTCTACTTTATAAAGGACATTGATTGCCTTTTGTGATAAATAAGAAAAGATGTAAAGTACAATTTCCGATCACAGGTAATCAATCAAAATTTTATAACAAACATATCATATACCTATGTATGGAATTTCATTTGTCTATCAGAAGTCACTCAAAAATTGAGAGTGATCAAAGTATAAGATTTTTAAAAACTTGTATATGAAATATCCTCCAAGTAACTGAAATAGTTATGAAGTTATTGTTCCCACAGAAATAAAGTACCATTTCGGGTTACAGGAAATTGTTCCAAAGTGGAGCTAAACCTGCAGACACAATCTAATTCTAGTACTTAAAATTTCGTGTAGCTAACTTTAGTGGTACTTGAGAGATCTGCTTGTAAGAGACCAGCAGTAGTTTAGTTCATTCTGTTTACTGGAAATTGCTAAAAATAGAAAGCTACAAATTTGACATACCTTATATGAAATTTGATCAAGATAATGGAACCATTACGTAAATTATCATGTTAACAGACACACACACAGATGGACAGGATTGCAAAGTTTTTTTCAGCATGGGGAGGATATAAAACAAAAATGTGTCAAAAATCAGTTTTGATCATTTCTGATTACAATACATACTTTATATTCTGTATATGAGAAAGTTGGTAGGTGAAAACTCAAAATTTCATTAACTTTTTAAGCATGCTTACAATATTCCCTCTATATTCTGTATGCGAGAAAGTAAAAAGAATGTAATAACACAGGATTAAAAAAGTCAATGATTTTATTCCATTATCTTTTGTTACAAAAGACAGCAATTTAAACACAATGTGTTTATTAAAATTTCAAAACAATGTGTTCATTAAAATTCAAACACAATGTGTTATTTAAAAAAACGTTATATGGGCTGAGTTTCTGAATGAGGTGGGACCACATTAGTGTTGTAGTTTCCTTCACAGAAGAACAACTTTAAAAAACTGTTCTGGCACCTTCTTTCAATGTCCTCTACACTCCATTGTTCTCAACATAAACAATAATTGTATGGCTCCTGTAGGACACCACTGTATAATGTCTTAAATACAGACACTATTTTAACAATTATTTGAGTCATATATGTAGCACCTAGTTACAATGTCCTCTACATAAAAAGGACTAAATCACTTGGGTCCTGTAGGTGGCACCACCTTCCAATGTCCTCCACACAAACAGGACTTGACAAACCTGAGCTCCCAGGCCTTGAGCAGTGGTGACCTAGTGGTGGAGGGGTTACGTTTGAGGGAGAGGGAGTGGCAGCGGACACATTCCCTCAGGTGCTCCCGGGGCTGCACCCCCAGCTGTATCTGCCTGACACAGTCGAACTTCTGCTCCGCGTCCAGGCACAGGTCCAGGGGGAACACGCGGTTCAGGTACCGCGGGTTGAACAAAAAATCTGGCTCCACACCAAACTGGTAGTTGATGGGGAAAGGTTGGGAGAATGCCAGGTAACAGTTCATCTCCTCGCCATAGGTCTTCTTGTAGTTGGGCAGCAACATCTGAAAGATTCAATCTTCAGTCAAGTACAACAACGAGCAGAGGCGTAGCAATGGGGGGCAGGGGGGGACATATGTTGGAAAAAGTAATCGGAAGTTTGAGGGGGGGTGGGGGGGGGGTGCAAATCAAAAGTTTGTCCCAAGGCGCCGGGAAGGGTCGCTACGCCTCTGACCGTGAGGTCGTCTTTAATAAGAACTTCCAGAAACTATTAAGCATTATCTGGTTCTTAATGATATTTAAACCAGGAAATTTTAAACCTTAGGTTTTGGGTTTAGGGATAGGTTAAAGTAATAATGTCCATACCGGTATGTAACACTTAACTGAGTTTGTCATTTATTAACAATGTCCTTCAAATGAAAGGTTTACAGCAAAACAGCTAGCACTTAGAAATGAGATGAACACTTTTTAAATGGCTAACAGCATATTAAATATTAGTAGGTAATAACTCAGAGGTGCTAACTGGGTTGGTGATGGGAGGGGGAATGTGAGACAATGAGGGGAGCTAACCTCACTAGGCAAGTTGCAGCACTCATCTAGAAAGGTCTGGTCAGTGGACTCTATACTCATGCCATCTCTAGCAGCGATCCAGGCTTTAGTGACCAGCTGGAACAGGTAGAGCAGTGGGTCAATGGCCACTGTGGTCAAAAACACAGGCAGGCAGGCGGGGTTCAGCTTGCCCCAGATACGGATGATGATGAGAAGTTCTCGTAGTGTACACAGCACCTGCAGAATATTGTTTTCATGAGTTACATTACATGGTACCCCACAAGATCAGCTGACTTGGGTTGTTTACAATATTATAAGTTAATCTCACATGATTATCTGACTTGTATTGTTTACAATATTATAAGTTAATCTCACAAGATCAGCTGACTTGTGTTGTTTACAATATTATAAGTTAATCCCACAAGATCAGCTGACTTGCTGTGTACACAATATGCCACAGAACCCCCACAATTTAAGTTGATTTCAAGGAATTACAAAATTATGTTCTATATTAAAAATTATACAAAAATTATCTATGTATACTTTGTAAAGTAGCTTTTTTATTACACAGCTTACACCAATTTATATTTTACCTGTGGATTTTTCAATATTGTGGATCCCGGATACTGTGGATGATTCGGATACATGGATACAGCTGCCAACAAGTGTAAAATAAAGTCTGTCACCCACTGTATAAATGGCTGTAAGGCCTGTAGTGAGACTGGAGAAACAAATATTAGTGGTGACACACAGTACAGAAAAATGAATTTTAAATGAATTGATGGAACATAAGAATGGTCACTCATTCACAAACTATAAACAGAGTGCCGATATTTTAAAAAGAATGAAAATCTTAATGAAAATTATCATTAAAAAACTAATATTTGTATATTAATGCCCTCAATGGACCCAACAGAGAATAGTTTCGAAATTATTTGAAAGGCCCATGTACAATATAAAATAAATATGCTTATAAACATCTGATTGTTTGATTTTTGTCGCACATTATTAAAGATTGGATGTATGATGTGTTTTTGATGTTTTTAGTATTTTTGGTAACTAAACAAAAAAAAAAAGCCAAACAGTTTTTGTTTGTGTACATTTAATCATTGAAAATGACAACAAACATGGCTGAGCTGGGTCTAAAAAATAATCTTATTTAAAAATTGTATCCACCAAGTTTTGAGTACGAATTACTATAAGATTTTTTATGAAGTGGCGTTTTAAGAGTATCGATCTCGGAGTTCCTAAACAGCCAATCAAGATTTGTCTTACGTAAGCGAAACCCCGAGTTATAACTAAGGCTTGATGAAAATAAATAGAAATGTAGCCTTAAACTCAAAAAATTATTTTCAAGTAATCTGGATTTGCAACTTTTATAATACTGATTCTAAAAATATTAAATATCTGAATTATGTAGTTTTTTTTAGTTTTTTTTTACGGCCGCTTTGATGACTACACTAAATCTAAAAAGCACCTTTTATATCCATGACAAGAATATAATGGAAGGATTCTCATCAACTTGATGATGTCCAATACGACACATTTTATGTAAATTTCACACATTACAAGAAGGAACATTTAGACTTACAAGCACTGTACAGAAAACAAACTCAGGGACTGACCTTCAATTTTAGAGTTACCACTGCTAGTTTTCTTGATCGAGTCCAAAAAAAACTCGTCAAAATCTAAAGATTTGATGATTTGGTCCAGGTCTTTCTCTGGTGATACTGAACACAGGTGGGTCAACTTCTCTGCTGGACCCTGTTGATACACTTGATATGGTTAACCTGGTCAAACATCTAATGCCAGGGTGATACAACATTCAATGTTTCATTCTTTAAATATGTCTTAGATCCTCAACTCATATCACTGTCCCATGTGTCTCTAGAATTTTCATACATTATGTCATTTGATTTTGTTGGTCTGCACAAGCTAAGTAGAGTTGATCAGCGTCACAATCCAATTATATACCTCAACTACAGAAACATCAAATTCTACACCATCAGCTCTACTTAATGACCCCACTGACCAGTGTCCAAATGATATAGTTTACAACAACCGGGCTACTGACCTTATCCTGGGCTGTGACAGACTTTGGCCTGAGACAGGACTTAAGAACTGTAGCGATGGCATGTAGGGTAATCAGAGCACGACAATCTGCGGCTTTCTGGCTGCCTGCACCAAGACAGGAGTACAGCGCCATCTTCAGGCGCAGCAGGCGCTGGTGTAGCAGTTCCTGTACGGCTGACGACTGTTTCTGGAAGTTTGAGTTCAGCTTGTCTACAATACCTTCTATCATACCTGTAAGTTGTCAGTGAAAATATTTAATAGCTGATAACTTCTTTAACCAACTAGGTTCAAAGTCTCATGGTGTAACATTTATAAGCCTGTACAGATAGACACACCTTATTACTGTAAAAAAATTGTCTGAACGAATGTCCCATACAAATGACATCATACATTGTTAAAGCTTGTAAACAAACCTTGTCCTACAGAACACTCCATACATCCAGTTACACGCACAAACAACACCACACAATGTATAAGTTTGTGGAGACAGATACCCCAGACTACTGTAAACAAACGTTGTCTGACAGCCAGCAGTACATCCCACACATCCAGCCCAACAAACATGGTGTACTCCAGCAATAAAATAACAAAACAAACCTTGTCTGACAGCCAGCAGTACATCCCACACATCCAGCCCAACAAACATGGTGTACTCCAGCAATAAAATAACAAAACAAACCTTGTCTGACAGCCAGCAGTACATCCCACACATCCAGCCCAACAAACATGGTGTACTCCAGCAATAAAATAACAAAGGCTGGCAGCATCTGGAGCGAACCATCGCGGGAGTTGAACATGCGGAACAGATACAGTCGCCCCTCCCCAAGCCCCACCAGCCCACACCCTGTGGTGGTCTGGACCACGGAGATGAGGTACGGGGCGGTCATGCGTGTCCTCTTCTCTGGTGGTTCGGAATTATTCAGATCTGTTGGTATCAAGGTCTTAAAGCTGATCAGCTGATCCATTGATGCTGTGTAAATCACCTGGAGAAATAAACAAATGAGAATAACATTCCTGCAGTGTTTGTTGTCTAGAATTTAAAATCAAGGTGCTGGTAAAAATCCTGATAAGATTAACGTAAGCTCTTTTTTTTGCTAGTTTTACAACTCTAATCAAACCTCAGCATCTAACTCCAGCATTGATACTGTACTGCAATACCAGTGTTTTTACAAGAAAGCTAGTTAATCAATCATAACCATAATTTAGTATCATCTAATTTGTCTTAGATTTGTTGTTTGTTCATAGGACTACAATAGTTGTAGCTTTCACTTGTGATTAATTTAAAGAATGTTGCATAAACAGTTTGGTATTCAAATTGTCAACATAAACCAACTGTAGTCTGTTGATTGTTTTACCTGCCAATGAAACCCAGCCAATAAATGTAACAGCCCAGGTGTACAACTCACCTGATAACTCTGTCTATGAACCACTTTAATGGTGCCATCTCTATAGGTACAGACAAAGTAGGAGAGAAAATTGGTAGACTCCATGTTGAATGAGCGACTGATGGGTAGCTTTGGTCTCGCTATATCAGTGAGGGCAGACTTTTGTGTGAAATGTGACTTGTGGATCCAGCGCTTTGTTTTGTATGCAAATTCTGTCACTGCTGCGTTCTGGAACATTCTGTTTAATGGTATAGTCTGCTCAATCAGGTGCCACACCTAGGGATTCACATTTTAGAATTTCAGTAGCCAATCATTGATAATACATGGTGAAACAAGACTAGAAACTAACATGACTTGACAGTCAATAAAAATGTTGTAAAGCCAGAAGAAAGTGAATCTGAGTCCAACCTACCTCCACAACTGGAAATTCCCCAGCACAGAGCCCAACCTACCTCCACACAACTAAAACTTGAAGTCCCCCAGCACAGAGCCCAACCTACCTCCACACAACTAAAACTTGAAGTCCCCCAGCACAGAGCCCAACCTACCTCCACACAACTAAAACTGAAAGTCCCCCAGCACAGAGCCCAACCTACCTCCACACAACTAAAACTTGAAGTCCCCCAGCACAGAGCCCAACCTACCTCCACACAACTAAAACTTGAAGTCCCCCAGCACAGAGCCCAACCTACCTCCACACAACTAAAACTTGAAGTCCCCCAGCACAGAGCCCAACCTACCTCCACACAACTAAAATTGGAAGTCCCCCAGCACAGAGCCCAACCTACCTCCACACAACTAAAATTGGAAGTCCCCCAGCACAGAGCCCAACCTACCTCCACACAGCTAAAATTGGAAGTCCCCCAGCACAGAGCCCAACCTACCTCCACACAGCTAAAATTGGAATTCCCCCAGCACGCCAGCAACACTTCACTGTTCTCTCTGCTCAAAAAGCTCAATCTCGTCAGCCGAGGTTCTTGTACTCCACTCTCATACTAAAATAAAAATGTTTTATCACATAAAGTAAATGATACCATTGCTTGAAAAAAGCTTTCAGTATCCAATAGATCAACATACAATATCCAGAACTAGGAAAGAATTTACCCCTGGCTGTTTTTTAAGGAAAAAACTGGCAGACGGACTGCATCGTATGGAACACAAGTGGTTTTTTAACGTGACCGCTGCGACATAGCAATGTATGGATGACGAGAGCTGGCCATCACTGGTGGCTATGAGGATCTGTGCGTCAGGCAAGAAGGCGATGTCCGCTTGAATTATGTGCGTATTGGACTGGCCCAGGGATGCTTTAGAGGTTATTAAAGGGCCACCTTTTTCAGGAATCAGACCTACATTGAGCTGGGGATACAATGGATAAGTGTTTAAATAAATACATGATTGACTACCAAAGGGATTTAAGGTAAGATTTTGTACCACTCTATTTAAAGTCAAAGAGTGAACAAGACACAACTCACCATGCCAGTGGATGTGACTGCTATCCAACCATCAACAGGTTTTTTCCCAAACTGAGTTACTGATGGGGAAAGTTTGTTCCTCACAAACTTCTCACTGTAAGTAATGACTTCCCTAGCCTCAGGGTTGAAAAGACACTGAAAAAGTAAACTTTTGATTTTATTTTTATTAACATTATGTCATTCAATTAAAATAATGATCTGTAGCAGTGAGCTGACAGTATACATCAAACTTTAAATTAAAAAAAAAAAAAAAAATTCTGTATTAATAAAAAATAAAGTACAGCTATGTCACTCTTGATAATCAATATAAAATGATCTGTAGTTAAGACGACAGTCTAATAGTAATAACCACATAAGCACATTAAAATGATAACACAAAAAGAAACATAGTTCATTTTTTTTTAAACCTGTGATCCATTATGAAGCCATGCCAGCACTAAAATTTCTTCTTTTTCCATGTCCACAAACCCTGATTCTTCCCAGACGTTGATCAGATAGTTCTAGACAACAGAAGAGTCAAAAAGATTATAAAGTTAGCATAAGTAAGTTTAGTCTAGATTCTTCACAACGTCTTGATACCTTTGATGTTCATCTTTAACAGACACTTGCAAGTTTATTTTGTTGGGAGATGTATTATCAACATGACGAATCATCCACACAACTAATTAAAACAGCAAAGTTTAACCATGAAACATGACAGTGACGAGAACCTTAGATACCTTCATTTTCCACAAGCTGAACCTGCCGGCTGCATTGACAACTAACAGAGTTGTCCCTGCAGGGTCCCACCTCATGTAAGACACTGATGAGTTGTATGTGGTCACCTGGTACTCCTGCCATGGCTTGTCCAAGTCTACAACACACACTTCATAAAAGATGTCCAGTTTATCACTAGATTTGATAAAAATGTTTCAAGGAACTCAGTTATTACAAAAAGACAAAATCCATTTTTCTAAATCTAGGTCTAGCTGCAGTGAGCTTTATGCAAATAGTAATTAAACAGGTAATTAAAGAAAATTACATGTAGGCATACTATTACTATGCCAGACTTAGACTATGGACATAATTTGTGGATTTAGGTCTAGAGTAGATAGCAGCATGTATAATATATTAATAATAGCTAGGCCTTATAATAATAGCATATAAATATAGCCATAGCTTAAAGTATAGAAGAGCAGACAGTGAGAGAGACTCATCAGAACTAGAACAGATCTATCTGCTAAATTTTAAAGAATACCCCCCCCCCCCCCCATCAGATCAAGGATTCTAGGGCTTAGGCCCCTACTACTACTACTAGTAAAACTAGTAGAGCTGGATCTAATTCTAGAATTATTAAGTAGGCCTAAAGCGTTTAAAAAAGTAAAGAAAGAGTAAGACAGACTCAGTACGATGAGTAAAAATGGTAAATTGAATATTGGTAATTTGGTGAAAGAGACAAAAATTGAAAATATTCAAAAAGTTGAAACAGTCACCGTACCCATCGTTATCTGCTTTTCTAGCTCTGCTAAATGCCACTATATTTCTACATGATAAGCTGCAACAAATCTTTTCTTCAAAACTAAAGTCAGTTTTCTTTGAAAAAGATTTGAAGTCAATAGAATAAACAAGTTCCATTTTAACATTTAATTAAAAATAATTTGTCTCTGTTTGTTTACACTACAACATGATTATAACAATTATGGAGTTACTACTAACCAAAAACGACCGATTTCAACCGTAAAAGGAGTGAAAAATCAATCTAGATCTAGAATATAATAATTTTTACGATATTTATGGATTTTAATAGAATTTAACCAGCTATAGCGTCATTTGCGCTAACAATATCTTATCTAATAATATAGGTCTATTTTAATACCCTTTTTTTTCTTCAATAAGCGGTAAATGTCTGAACAGAGGATGACACTCTAAATTAAAAATAAGGGACGTAAACGCTGTATTTAAAATACTCAATTTCTTACTGGATCACTCGTCTTTGTAAAAATTATTTCATTAAAAAAAAAAAAGAAAATATCTATTTGTTGACGATGTACTGGTCTACGGCCTGACATAGTGAAGTTTATGGGGTTTATTTTGGACCGAGTGGGCTAAAACAAGGCATGAGATCTGACAGCGACTTTCTTTCATTACGAAGATCATTACCTGCTGAGTTTATCTCTCTTAGGCTATGAATCAGCACACAATAGAAGTTAGGGCACCTGCAAGTAGCCACGAATGTGACAGTTTCGGTGCGTTAGAATATCGGGGAGGTAGGGCACTCACTCGTGGCCTGTTACCGAGGTCTGAAATTTTCCCCGCCTGGCAGAAGTCACTTTCCAGCCCAGTGTTTCCTTGCTGTTTATTCCTGGTGGTAAAGCAATTTAAAATGATTTCCTTCCCACCCTACGGACAGTTCTAAAACCTGCCCACATGAGTTCAGGGATGGGGAGCTCAACTCACCGAGGTGGTCAACCCCCCCCCCCCCCCCCCCACACACGCCATCTGTCCACTGCCGGACTGCCGTGCCGCAGAGGCGTAGCGAAGGAGGAGCAGGGGGTACATATGTCCCCGGGCGCCGACCTTAGGGGGCGCCAAAATAGGTTGGGAAAACAAATAGAAAATCTCATTTTAGGTGCAGTTTTGCATTATAGATATGAAAAAAATAGATGGGATGGGGGGGGTGCAAATGGAAAGTTTGAGGGGGGGGGTGCAAATTGAAAATTGAAGGTTTGTTCCCGAGGGGGCGCCAAATTGAAAGTTTGTCCCCGGGCGCCGGGAAGGGTCGCTACGCCTCTGCCGTGCCGACCTCTTCCCTGGAACACAGAGCAGGAAGTATCGCCTGTGGCAGGTGGTGGGTGTTAAACCTTAATCACAGCGATTTCATGTTCCAGGTTCATTGACAGCAATTGGCGACATTGTGCTCATGTCGACCTCCATAGCTTCATAATAATAAAAGCCATAAAACGTCAAGTTTTTGTTCTTAATATTGTATATATAATTTATCTAGTCATATGTTTTGCGCTCAGTACACAAAAAAAAAAAAAAATTAAACCCAGCCAAAACCTAGGCAGTAGAATAATAGATCTAGGCCTATATTGAGAACTGGATAATTGTAGCAACGTATCTGGTTTAAAAATATAGTAATATGCCTACAATTAACTGTAATTCTGCTACAATACACGCAGAGAATGATTTAAAGGTGCGTATATACGTAGGTGTGTGGGTAAGTGGTGTCCTACAATCACATGACGCCTAACCGTGTAGTAACCGTAACTCTCCCACTCGGCTTTATGTCTACAGAAATACAAATCATAACTTAACAACGAGCCTGACTACAAATTATGATTTAACAAATGCCCTAAGCCATTATTTATCTCTCACGTAACTTGAGCGTGTAATCAAGTTTCGACCCCCCCTCCCTCCCCCACCATGACAACACGGTATTGGGGCCGGTCACCAGGACTATGACGTCACTATGGCATGTACAAATCATGGGTTTCACTACTTGTGCTGGCTCCACGTTGTCTAGCTACATACAGCCATTGGGTCCTGTTGTCTAGCTACATACAGCCATTGGGTCCTGCTGTGTCTAGCTACTACCATTGGGACATCTGCGATACCTTATTTCAAGTTTGTCATTATAAATAGGATGGGCCGTTTACTTTACATGAACTAGGCCATGTACCTACAATGGGCCTTTGACCTATAGGGTTCTCTAAAATAAATACTCAGCTACTCAGAGGCTTATAGCTTCTAATAGAGCACTTCAGTTTTATTGCGATGGTAGAATAGCGCCCAATTTAAAACGAGAAGTCTGTGAGTTAGTCCGCGGTCCACTTAATGAAAGCCGTACTTACATTAATGACATGAGATATGGTCTCTTGTAATAGAAATAAAGTTTATTGTTAAGTAGGGAGGGGCTATAAGTGTTTGGTGGGTGTGGGAAGGAGGGTTAAGTGATTAGGTGTGCCGTATTGATAAGTTAGGAGGGTGTGGAGAACAGAGGCGTAGCGACCCTTCCCGGCGCCCGGGGACAAACTTTTCGATTTGCACCCCCCCCCCCCTCAAACTTCCGATTTGCACCCCCCCCCCTCAAGATTTTGATTTGCACCCCCCTCGACCTTTCAATTTATTTTTCCAACCCATTTTGGCGCCCCCTAAGGTCGGCGCCCGGGGACATATGTCCCCCTCCGCCCCCCCCCCCCTCGCTACGCTACTGGTGGAGAATATGAATACACACTAGCATTTATCATAAAAGAAGAATTACAATCGAGAAAACTACTTTAAAAAGTTGGAAGAACCCCTACAATCGAGTCTACACCAGGGGCGGAACTACAGTGCCGCCAGACCCCGCAATGCGGGGGGGCCCAGACCGATTGGGGGCCCAAAAATCCTGGCTAAATTATTTAAAAAAAAAAAATTAAAAAAAAAAATTAGGTGGAGGTCGAGTTATCTTTCTTCTACAGTTACAAACAAACACGATAGTCGGCAAACGTCTTTGATGAAAATGCACAGACTATATAGCTCGAGAGACCGCCAGACATAAAGTCAACTTCAAAGACGCAGCCTACCGTTCTTTTTAGTGGCGTCGATTAGGAGAACAAAAAAGCATTGTTATATTGTTTACATTATTAAATTACATATCTATGATTGTGTGTTTAAACTACTGGCCTGAATTCTACAAAAAATATAATTATTTATTTCGATCTCGTACATTTATAATTGCGTTCATTTTTACTTTAACAACTGTATCAATAAATTTGTAAAAGTTTAAGTTATCTCCCTTCAGCGAAGCATCTGAAATTTGACTGTGCCGGTACACTTTGAAATCGGGCTGGGGAAATGTTGCGGCGAATATCCTGGTCTTCTAGACGACCGGAAAAAGTCGGCACTATTGATGTAGTTGTTCATCGGCGCTTTCTTGTCCCCTTCCAATGAACCTTCCCAACTCTCTCCCCTGCCCCCTCTCACCCCTACCCCTCACCTCTACCCCTCACCACACCCTTAATCTTACAATAAGATGTAATGCATAGATTAACGAACCGTCTATGAACTACTGAACTGTAAACTGACCACTCCTGCACATTTTGTTAAAGACACTAGTCAGTAGCTGTTCATTTACCTGATGAACAGGGGCGGAACTACAGTCCCGCCAGTCCCCGCAATGCGCGGGGGGGGGGGGGGGGGGGCAGGCCGTTTAGGGGCCCACCCACGGCTGACCAAAATTAATATTTTTTTAAATTTTGAATTTAATTTTCGTGCATTTTTGCCTTAATATTTGGTTTGTAAAAGAAAAACACTAGCTGCGGTACGATTATCTTTATTTTACAGTCACTATACCACGCTCTTCCGCAACAGATAAAATCCATTACACAAACTACAGTGTAAAATATAGGCAACTCTTCAAATTTGAATGACTTCTTTGACTCGTTGCCCCCCACCTCTTTAATAGCTAAATAGAGGACACGTAACTGTTTAACCGATCCTCCAAAGTGTACTGTCGCGGATTAGGCAGGGGATGGGGACCAAAAAGGGGGTTCAAAAATTGTCGAATTTTTTTTACATATCTTAAACAGTTATTTATAGTTGTATTTTTTAACCATTGTCAAGGCCGAGTTCTATTTCCCTACAATCAAACACACGCTGTCGTCGGCAAAATTCTTTTTAAAAAACAACAAAGTCCATAGCACGAAAAGCCGCTACATATGAAGTGGGCTTTCGTCTTTGCGGCATTGGTAAGGGACCCGAAATCCATTGTACATTTTTCAATGTTAATGTGTTTGTGATAGTGGTTGAATTTGTATCTTGCATCCTACAAATAATAAAAAAATAATATAATACTATACTAGAAACTTCAGTTTTATATACGGTTAGTTGTTTTTGCTTTTACGAGAAATATCATAGTAAACTTTTAAAGTCTATACTTGGAATAATCTCCCCTGAGTAAGTTTTACAATGGGCGATGCTGACGTACATAGATCAAGGCGTTTTGATGTCGCTTTCAAGTTTTTTTCCCGAGCCGACCCCTATCCCACCCCTCTTTCTCAACCTCACAAGTATCGAGGAGATAAATGTATCGTTTATGAACTAATTCCTAACCGTACGATTCAACACTTCAGCACATTTTGTCAGACACTAGACAGCACTAGATCTAGATCTAGTCAACAGATATTAATTTACTTTCATAGTATTTGGCACATCTAATTTACAAAACAGGGCAGGTAAGATTATTTTTATATAATTATTTAGAAATTAATTACGTTTAGAATTAATTGAACATTATTAATAGTCAATTACTATTTATAAATGACGTCATTGAGGTGGGGGTGTGTGAGGGTCTGGCTTTTTGTTAGTCCCCCCCCCCCCCCTCCCCTAAATCAGAAGGTTATCCAACGCGTGACCTGGCCACATACAGTTGTACATGTGAAAAACATTTTTCTGTCTATTTTGCATTACTGCATCATTCACCCAATCGCCATGAAAACTTGGGAAGCTGTTGAGTACAGCCCCGCAAAAGTTTCTGTCATAGGCCTAACATTTGTACATATTGGAGTGGGGACTCCTAACGGAAATATGTGATTTAGCGCCCCGTGATCCTGCATAAGCGGATGAGGTTACTACTTGAATACAACCGGCGGCAGTGTCATCCTGAGCGCATTACATATGATCAAGTTGGCCCCCACAGACAGTCGTTTAAAAGTTCCCACAAC